CACATTTCACTACCAATAATTTCTTTTTTGTATTGTAGAATACAAAAGAAGGTAAAACAAAGATAGTTGAAACAAAATACTTAAATCATGTAAAAGCAAGGCAGATTGGCTAGCAGAAGTTTAGTTTTAAAGCTACCAGTGGTGTTTGTCTCCCTACCGCATCCCACCCCCAGCAGAAATGTTTCTCAAGTTCTGGAACAACCACAGAGAATGCTGGCTTTCAATAGCTATTAGATGGATTAGCAGAGCTGCAACTGGAGTTTCTCAGATGAATTTAATGGTAGTCTTCCTGGTGATTTGGATATTTACCATTTATGACTTTATAGATTGCTAATAGTATGTTGTATTTTTCATGAAAATAAATAACTGGATAAATAACTTTTTCAAAAGTTTTACTTTCTGAAAAACTTTTGGTGATTATGATAGACCCCTTCAAATTGATCACAAATATAATTTCAGAATGACTATTTTTCTGTATCCTGTACAGAGGTGGATTTATAAGCTGTACAGATGCAGATAGATAACTCAACAAGACGTCCATAACAAAGTACATTTATTGGTTCATCAGGTATCCTCATAACTCACATGTGATGAAGTTCTTCTGTAATGACCAATCCTTTGTATATCTGCCTTGTAGTAAAGATGGTTATCTCCTAACCCATCTCGTAGCGATAGAAAGCAGCTCCCATGAGTTTGTGAGTTCAGGCAAGAATGAGGAAAACTCCCCCAACCAATCAAGGGTCAAACTAGTGACCAATCGGGATTACAGATGTGGCCATTTGACATGGACTACATTTCCCAGGATACCTTTAACTACATTTACCATGATGAATTCCCTTAAGGGGACAGCTCATAATTCCCAAGTAACTATCCAATTCCCATAGACTGGCTGGGACAGCACTCCCCTCCTGGAATGGTAAATTCCACTATTAATAGAAGAGAAAAAAAATTAACTATAAACTAAGATAAGCGGTAAACAGTAATACTATGAATAGCAGATAACTATATAACTAAGATAAACAGGTACCTATATAACTAAGAAAAACAGTAAACATTAATAAAGCATCAAACAAAGCAAAGCATGAGGTTCAATCTTCAAGTTCAGCCTTTTTCCGCAGCAGCACAAGGTCGGTGACTGGTCTGGTGTAGAACTTCTTAGTGAAAGTCTGCTGGACACATGAGAAATCTAACGACCTCACTATCAGGACCTTGACTTTGTGGATTAGTTCATCAGAGCTGGGCAGGGGTTGATGCACAAGTCCCATAGGCCACGCGTTGCGATGTACATCCTTGTCTTTCAGCAAGACAAGGTCTCCCTCTTCAAGGTTCAGTTCTTTGGTCTTCCATTTACGGCGATCTTGTAGGGTAGACAGGTACTCTTGCTTCCAACAGTTCCAAAAGGTGTTGGCGAGCTGTTGAACTTGTCTCCGTTGTTGTTTGTACAAGTCCTTAGAATCAAAGTTCCCTAATGGTGCAGGCCAATCACCCATCTTCTGAGTTAGCAAGGCAGCTGGAGTGAAAATGGTTGGATTCTCAGGGTCTGAAGAGACCGGAACTAAAGGTCAACCATTTATGGTGGCCGCAACTTCTGCCATAAGGGTAGATAGAGTCTCATGTGTCAGTTTAGCATTGATTCAAGGATCTGACGAGCTATTCCAATCATACGTTCCCATGCTCCTCCCATGTGAGATGCGTGGGGAGGATTAAATATCCATGTGCATTTGCTGGCTTTAAGGTAGCCATCGAGTGGCGAGTTGGCGAATGCCATCTTCAATTTGTAGTTCTTTACAAGTGCCTACAAAGTTCGTTCTGTCAGATCTGAATACCTTGACTGGGCCTCTGTGGGCTTGAAACCTTCTCAGGGCGTTGATGAAGCAAGGGGCATCCATAGATTCAATGACTTCGATATGGAGCACTCAAATACTGAGGCATGTGAAGAGTACTGTCCATCGTTTGCTGTTAGCTTGACCGCCCCGGTTTGTCGGGCATACACAGACTAAGGGCCGAATACATCGAGGTCTGGTTCGGACTTCAGGCACTTGGGTGGTAGGTCAGCCATCACCTGGTGTAGAGTCTGGCCTCGTTGCTTGTGACAATGGAAGCAAGACTGCAGAACAGTTGAAATACATCTTTTGGTGCCTACGATTCAGAGTCCATTCACTCTGAGGGCACCTTCTGTGAAGTGGTGACCTTGATGATGGATTAGTTTGTGGTGGTGTTGTACTAACAGCCTCGTTACATGATGGTTAGCCGGAAAGATGATGGGGTGCTTGCTTGGTGAGTCTATTTCTGCTTTGTGTAGGCGACCTCCTACTCGCAGTACCTCCTGGTCATCGAGGTATGGGTTCAGTCTCAGAAGTGGACTAGATTGTGGTATGGGCTTCCCTGCACTCAGGCATCCATATTCTGACGGATATGCATCTTCTTGTACACTTCTCAATATTCGTCTCTCAGCATGAGTACAGTGGTCTGGGAAGTATGACTTGAAGCCTTTCTGATGACTGAGGAGATGGACGACTGTGTGGACAAGCACAGTTATTCCCAGTACGAGAGGTTTCCATTGGGAGAAGCATTCAAAGCAAGCAGGTTTTAAGGGACCTATCTTCTCGCGTTGGAACGTCGTTTCTAGGCAGACGACAAAACTGGTTTCTCCTTGAAGTAGTAGATCTAAATTGGGTTATATCTGATGAGGTCTCTCCCGCACTGTGTGCGGATGAGGTCACAACGCCTGTGTTAAGTGTTGATGTTTGGTGATGATCTGTAGAGATGTGCAGTAGAGACTGAAGAGGTCCAGAGTTGCGGTAGCGGTCTCTGTTAGGTTGGTAAACTCTGCGTCTGAGGCGAAGGTTTCTGAAGCTGTTGCAGGACTCTGTTTGCCAGGAGACAAGTTCTTGGAGAAAGGCAAAGAGTGGGTCTCGTCTGTTGTTTGCGGCCAGAAAGGCGTTGGACAAAACAATCCATCGTTCTAATATTTCTTTTGGGAATTTGGCAATGATTGCTTCTTGCGTTATGAAGAGACCAAGGCAAGCCAGTCCTGGTAAGTCAGAACATTCTTTGGCTGTTCGCAGCTCCATAAGGATGTTGGAAAAGTCCTCTAATTTTCGGGTTTCGTGGATGGCGATACACGGGAAACTATAAAGTCGTTCTAGGAGTGAATATTCTATCAATGTGTCTTCGCCATATTTCCGGTTCAAAGCATCCCACGCTCGTTTTAGAGAGGTGTCTGGATCGTTAAGTAAGCCTGTGTAAATGTGTTTCACTATGTAGTTAGACTGTGGTCTTAGCCATGCCAACAGAAATTTAAGTTCTTCACTGGGAAGCAGCTGTTCACTTTGGGCGGTGCTCATGAAAATAGACTTCCATAGTAGGTATTCTCTGCCTGGCTTGTCATTGAATTTGTGCACACCGCTGGCTGTTCCACACCTTAGTGATGGTTCTCTGTTACTTCTCTGTGAGGGCAAGTCACCTCTTCGTATGACATCGTCGTAGGCATGGCGTTCTGGCTCAAGGGCATGTGTTGTGGACGGTACATGTTTCGCCAGAGAGTACTTTATGAGGAGGTCGGTATCCACCCCTACATATGTAGGTAGTACCTTTTGAAGTTGGGTGTAGGTTCCACGCTGTGCGTCAGAGTTGCTTAGCGGTTGTGGTGAGAACTCTTTAGCCTGAGGATTGAGTGTGGCAATTGTGATTGGTTGCATGTAAACTTGTTGAGAAGTTATTGTGAGTACTGGTGGGCTAATTTGCTTACCTGGCAGGCCATGAGATGTTGGAGTAGGGATGCTAGTGTTGGGAAGAGAATCTCAGACCTTAGTACGTACAACATCAGTTGGGGAAGGTTTGCTGTTGGTGGGAAGTGAATCTCGTACTTTAGGTCGTACAACGTCAGTTGTGTAACTGACGTGTAGAATCTGGTTGAGATTCATCCCTGTGCTTCCCTGGTTATAGGAGACTGCTAGGCAACTGAGGCAGTTCCAGCTGCTCGTTTTGTAGCGAGTGCTGCTCGTCCACGTAGGCCTTGACCCGTGTATCTGGGCTGTCTTCTCCCAACTCTTCGAGGTTGAATTGGAGGGAGGTGTTGTCAGCCATCTTCCGCCATGCTGCGGTACGTGCCATCTTTGTCGCAGTGTCTCTTTGCTCTGTACCCTCGTGCTAAGAAAGTTAGGGTTTGTGCCTTTGATTGTATCCAAGCCATTCTCAAGCTCTGTCTTACTTTTGCCTGCTCCTTTGCCCACACCAAACTAGATCCTATTCTGTTCAGTGTCTGAAGACCGGCATAGTCTTCTGGCAGATCAGCATAATCCTGACATTCTTTACATCATTTATTTTTAATTTTCTTTTTGGTTAGGAAGAATAAAAATAGGTTTACTGAATGAACTTTCTCTGAGTTCCTTAATACCTAAAGATTTCTGTTGGGGAATTTTGAGTTTGCAGAAATTTTGTTATAAAATAATTCAGATGATACTAAAAGATTTGTATTTGGGATTTAAAAAACGTAATTTAAAAACAAAATTTTAAAAGGGAGAAAGCCAGATCTACACAAATGCAACTATAGCCATGGCCCCTCTCACCAAAAATTCAAATTCTCAAGCTTCTAATAACAAAAACAGAGAGGATGGTGTTTCTTAGAATGTCCACAGTTGCCAAACGTTTTAAAAACACTATTCATGCACATAGCAAATAAGGGGAAGTGGCCAGAAAAGAAAGATCCATGTTATCTATGTTGTTTTTATCATTATGATTGGCTTTTTAAAACACCTGTGTGTTTACTATTATTTTCTGTCTGCATTTTTTTAAACATCATCCAGAGAAATTCAGTATTGTACAGTCAGAATAATAAAATGAATGAATAAGTGAAGGTGAAGTTAAACCATTTTGCCAACAGTGCAATGCTGAAATGCATACCTTTACTTAATTCTGAGTGTTTAGAATTGTTACAGTTAGGAACAAAGACCATTATTTGCCACCTGTAGATTAAGTTCTCTGCTTTTTTCTTACAGCTGACATACCTTCCACCTCCATGGGGTGAGTGCCATTCATCAGATTTTGGCCTGGAGTTTTTCCCCATCTATAGCATCACTGCATGTAGGATCAGTTGTGAGACCCGCTACGTGGTAGAGAATTGCAATTGCAAAATGGTTCACATGCCAGGTATGTCTTTTGAAATGAGTTCTACCAGAACACAGAATGCATGTAGAAACTATCTTTGAACTCCCCAACTTACCTGGAGGATAAATGGCCCTTGAGATAATTGTGGTTTGGCTTGCATCCATCCTTTAATCTCTTTTTTGAACTAGTAAGACTTACATTCAGGTTATCCCTATAAAGGCTATTTTCAGTAACTAAGTCAGATGCTCTCTAGGGCGCAATACGAAGAATTCAAACCTTAATCACTCAGAGGTGGTTTCTACTGTTAATAATTATGTTCCTCAAAATACAAGTGTATTAATAATAGAAGTTTGTTTTCCAATCTGATGTAATTGGAATAAACCTTTATAGCTAGATAAAGAGCTTTTATATCCAATAATTACAGAGCTTTCAAAATATGTGCCTGGTTTTTTATTTCAAATCTTTTCCTGCCTTCGTTTTATTTGTTTTTAGAGACCAAGAGGCAAAAACACTGTTTTTGTGTAAATCTGCATGCTTTAGGCTATACACTTAAGTGTAAGCCCTAATGAATTCATTTTAATAGTAACTTTATTAAAGATTATAAATTACAGCAACAAAAACTAATACACACTAAAGAATTAAGAATAAAAAGAAAAAGTAGAAGGTACAGAAAAGGGAAAAATAGGAAGAGAAATAAAAAAGGAAGAATATAGTAGAGGGAAGAGAAATGCATAAGTGGTTATCTACTTCATCACAATAAATATTTTTAGTAACTGATCATCTCCTTTTAAAATACAACAAATGATATCCTCTTCCTATATCTCATCTCTTATCTATAAACAAAACCATAAAAGACTGTCTTTCTAATCCTGGTGTCATAAAAGGATACAAGAAATAGCATATATATTTTGATCTTGATCAAATAAACCAACTTTATATTCCTTCCTTTTAAGTCTAACAATCAATCTTCAGTTCATTGAAATAATATCATAGAATTTGATTTTTTTAAAAAAATCATTATTATTTCTTTCTCATGAGGTTCTTAAAAACTTTAGCAAAACTCTTTGTAAATCCAATACAGGAAAATTATCCAAGTTTCTCTCTTGGTTCATAGTTTGCATATCCCTTTTAATTATCTATATATATAAAAGCGAAATACCACTCACGCATCATCACAAAATCTCCAGAACTGTAAAGCCTACAAACTTGAAATTTGGCACATATGTTCCTCTTGGTTTCTAGGTGTTCACTAAGAAAGGATTTTTTGAAATGACCATCAGAGCATTAGTATTTCGTATATTATTATTAACATGCTTTGATGCTAAGGAGTTCTACTCTCGCTCCCCACCTGAAAGAAATCTGTTCCAAATGCAAAACACAAGCAGAGGAGAGGAGTTTCAATTTGAGAGCACCGAGCAGGTTTAGTACAGAACGGTTCAGCTAAGCCACGCCCAGGTTCCTTGCTGTCTCCTTCTTGCTCACACAGCAAATATTGTTTCAGTTTCCAAATAGCCCTCAACTCTCTCACACACTGACAGGATGCTAGCTAGATAAACACCGATGGATGCTGGTAGGCAGAGACAGAATTTTTTCCCCCTTATTTTCCTCCCCAAAAACTAAGCCAGATCATATAGTTTCATAGCAAAGCATGGGTATCCAGCTAGTTAACACATAAGCTGGTTGCTTTTTTTTAAGTCCAGTGTAACATCTTTCTTCTTATTCTCAGTCTCAATCTTGTCAAGTAGAATTTGTTCTTCTTCCATAACATCTCTTAGACACAATCTCCATAGAGGCAAATGACAGTCTAAAAAATAACTTTCGAGACCATTATTCAGAAATATTTATTTATCTAATTTTATCCCAATTATCTAATTCCATATAATTTATCAAATTTTAGCTAATTTATATAACCACCCACCTCACAAGTCATTCTCACAATATACAACAAAACAATATGTCCAATGTTCTATAATTTTAAATTGAGTTTAAATGTTCTTCTCCTTTAATTGTAATCTTGAAGTCCCTGTAGTGTCCAGTTTTTATTTTTTTTTAAAATCAAACCAAAAACATTTTTCCACAGTAAGCCTAATGAATTTGCCTAATGGGATTTATTTTAGATAAGCATTTAGGAGACGATGTAGTTATCTTTCTGTCTTTGATTTCACAGATAGATGTTAATTTTGGTTGTTCATCTGCACAGATGCATGAAGATTTTGCACACAATCATGAACATATTCACGCTCATGCATACCTACATCTCCTCCAGGGTAGCTTAAGTTTCACAGGCACACTGAATGAATTTCGTGCTTTCCTAATTCAAATCTTAATACTGAAAACTCACCAAACAATTGTAGATCGTTAGGAATCCAATCATTCCAAGAAAGGAAAAACAAGAAGAGTCATATGCACCCCTCTTCTTCCATTATATTATTGTGACATTGTCAACAGAGAAGAAAACAATTCAGGAAATGCAATACTCATCCTTGAAACACAACCCATGTAGTCTCTAGTTGCCATGTTTCCCTTGGGAATGTTGTTTGCCATTATGTGACTGAAACCCGAGAATGATTTTCCTAAGTATTTTAGAAAGAAAGCCATCATTTCTAAGCTTATAATAAAATGGTCCAATTTTTATATATATATATATACAGGGGATGCTCCATTTTGTACACCGGAGCAGTATAAGGAGTGTGCAGAGCCTGCACTAGGTAAGTTCTATCACCATCAGGACGGTTTATTTCTTCTAAGCTGATATTTCAAAAGGATCCCATTTCAGACTAGGAATATATTGTTACAGAATATGTTACATGAGAATGAAAGTTCCTCTGCATACACGCAGAGGGTGTCTTGACAAAACCAAGCAAATATCAGCTGCCTCCTTGAAGAAGGGTTTGTGCAAACCTTCCATAGAAATGACATGATTCAATTGCAATGTAACTTGTTTTCCCAGAACTTGCAATTTTTGCCTGTGATGGCCCTTGGCAAAAACTAGGAAGAATTTGAAGAATGAAATTCACACAAATTCCTCTAAGTTTGTGATTAAATGTGCAGTGCCCAAATTCAGTTTTTCTCCTTAGTTGATCTAAGGAGGTGAACATTTTTGCTTTGAAATTCATTAGAAACATGTACTGTAAACTCCCATAGGTGCTTTTTCAGGGACTTTCTTGTTTTTTCTTTTTCTTTTGAAGATGTTTCATTTCTCATCCAAGAAGCTTCTTCAGTTGGTCATTTGCATCTTTTTAGAGGGTCGTTGAAGTATCTGGAAGTTTATCTGTGTCCTCAGGGTCACCTGAGTAGTGCTCCTGGTTCCTGTAGTCTTCTTTAGAAAACCATTCCTGCTCCCACATTATTTCAAGGATGTTCATCCCAAATTGTATAGCCAAAAGTCTGTAGAGAATAACGTGGGAGTAAGAATGGATTTCCAGAGAAAAAAAATTGGAGACTACAGGAACCAGGAGCACTAGTCAGGTGACCCTGAGGACACGGATAAACCTTCAAGTGCCTCTAAAAGGATACAAATGACCAGCTGTCTGCAAGGAATATAAATACTCTCATTCCCCACTATCCTGTCAGAGGTTTTTTGGATGAGAAGTGAAATGTCTTCAAAAGAAAAAACAAGAATATCCAGTTACCTCCTGAAAAAGCACTTTTGGGATAACTGTGACCTAGATGGCTGATAATCTCTACAGACATGTGTTGTAAAGAATTCTCATCAAGACAGAATTCAAAAGCAAGATTTTATTTTTGAAATTTCAACTTTATGAACACCTCTAGGCAGCTGCAGTATTAACATGGTATCTATTTAGATTTACATCTCACTCATTCTTCATTCTTCTATGATATCTTTATTCATATAGTAGTTTGTTCCACAAGTCAGATGATTTCTGGAGTAGGAAAGGAAAGAATTGGGCACTCGTCAGCTCTGCTTAACACTATAACCTCCCAAAGCCAGTTTTGTTCCTTTGACCTTGGATCAGTGCATCCTGAACTCAAAATTGAGGGCTTGGGACATTTCAAATTTGAGTTCGGCACACATTTGGAATGATGAGGGCAGCTGTTTCAAACTCCATATTTAGCATTTTGAATGTAAATCAGGTGTTTTTTAGTTTGTTATATGTGTGTGCGTGTGTGTGTGTGTGTGTATAGATATAGAGATAGATAGATAGATAGATAGATAGATAGATAGATAGATAGATAGATAGATAGATAGATAGATAGATAGATAGATAGACAGACAGACAGACAGACAGACAGACAGACAGACAGACAGACAGATATACTGTGTTTCTCACAAAATAAGGCCGGGCCTTATTTTTTTTTGACCAATGAAAAAATGGCAAAGCCGCCTTTTCGGGGGTGACTTAATTTCCTCCCCCACCTAGAGCGGCCCATACGCACGTACCTCGCCACAAGGCTGCTTCTATCAGCCGACAAAAGCTCCCCGAAGGCAGAGTCCCCAGCCGCTTCAGGGCGTGACGTGGCTGCCCATGTCCCCTCACCTTTAGGCAGTCTCTTTTGGACGATGGAAGCTCCCCAAGTGCAGTCACCAGTCACTTCGATCGGCCGGTAGAAGCAGCCTCACGGCGAGGGGAGTGTGTGTGTGCGCTCGACCCTCATCAACACTCATCTCCAGAACAAAATGCTTAGCCAACGAACAACACCTAAAAACCGAACTACACACTCTCACTAACGTACTAACAGCCAATGGATTCCAAAAAAAGAAGATTACCCACCTAATCCAAAAAGAAACCCCAACCAAAATCCAAGACAGAGAACAAGAGAACAGCAAAGCCCTCCTCCCATATATAAAAGGCACTACAGACAAAATCAGCAAGATCCTCCAAAAACACAACATTAAGACAGCATTCTGCACAAACAGAAAAATATCCACCATCCTAAGAAACCCTAAAGACAGAATCGAGTTAGAAAACCAAGGAGTATA